CGTCGTATTTTTTCCAAATCTTTTTAGAATGCCGTAGTTTTAGACCCCCCGAGGATACAGCGTCCATCAGTTTTCTGAATGAAGCAACAAACTCTTCCCAAATACTCGAATATGGGGGATCTTTGTCAGTCCTTAGTTTTTTATTCACAACCCCTAGAGCGCCTGCTCTGGGTTTGTGAATGTGTGTGTTTCTGCACACATTCAGAGCCCCTAGAGTGCCTACTCCGGGTTTGTGAATGTGGACGTTTTTGCTCACAGTTTTCTCAGGGCTTGGTGCGGCGGTGGCCACTGAGGAACTGGAGTTGTCTTTGCATGGTTGCAATACCTTGGCATCGCAGGTGTTTTCAATCCTTGGTTTTTTATTCACAACTCCTAGAGCTCCTGCTCAGGGTTTGTGAATGTGGGCATTTTCGCTCACAGTTTTCTCAGGGCTTGGCGTGGCGGTGGCCGCTGAGGAACTGGAGTTGTGTTTGCATGGATGTTTTTTACCAGAGGTTTTTGTTTTGTCCTTGGGTTTACGCCAGTAAATGAGGTTTGGACTGGGCTGATGCTTCATCTGCACTCTTGTGCTGTTTTGCGTTGTTAAAGGTCTCAAAGCAGATTCCTGGTTCTTTGGTGGTTCTCGGGGACGGGTCCTTGTAGCTCCCACTACAGCCTTGTCAGAAGGGCTGCATATGCCTGCTTCAGGCGGGGGGGGAGGGAGGGGAGAAGGCATTTTACAAAAACATAACTTTGCGAGCTTTCTCACCCACACCTATGTATGTAATTAAAATACAAAACCTCATAAATTAACCAGACTAATAAGCAAAATATATTTACCCAGCTTCATCCATCCATCTGTCACTGATACTTGTGAATTTTTCTTTTCAGTTGTCTCTTTCCTTTTTCTTTTGAGCATTTTTACCCTCTCATGTTTTGACCGTGCTGTAAAGCAAACGACATTCTAATAAAACACATGAAACTGTCTAGTAAACTTTAAAATAAAATAAAAAATATCCATTAGGGTGTTTTTTCTATTTAAAAAAGTCATAGCTTTAAAACAAAATAATCCATTTCAGGCTGTACAACAAACACAGGTTTTGAGTTTATTTCTACCACTTTGAAAACAACCCCCACAAATATTTTTTTAAAAAAATACATCTCATTTTGCAAAGTAAAAACCCTGTTAATTGGAAATACACCATTACCATCAGTTTGTAGACATATACTTTTTAAAAACCACCTATGTTTTACACACACAGTTTAAAACACTGTTTGCAACAAAATACTTTTCAATAAACCCACATGCTTTTAAAAAGACCCCTGGTTGTTCTGGCCCCCGCCCCACCCCAGCCATGTGTGCTTGGGGTCTTTGGGGTAAAAAAACCAAGCCAAAATGTTAGTTAGTATTAGCTCCCAAATCCCTATTCAACCTATGTAATACCTGAAGTTATTAAGCACAACTACAGTTAAAAATGGTTTTTACCTTGGCCTGGTGATGAACTGCAACTTAAAGCTACTGGCTCCATGCTAAACAGATCACACTGCAATAAAGATATGCACCATTATTTACTAAGACAGCATGGCCAAAAAATGGCATTATATAATATATATATATTTTTTTTTCAGAGTTAAAAAAACCAGGGAACATACCTCCACTTGCAGTCCAGCAGCAATTCAAGAGAGTTTCTGTTGAAAGAGACAGTCTCCAAGCTACCTGAGGTTTTGGGGTTTTTTTACACCATCCTAACTCTTTTGTTTCAAAATAGTTAGCAGGTTGATTGGATCACCCCTCCCTAGCATTCCCTTTTGTGATCGGGGGTGGGGAATAAGTTTTCTGCACAATTGGGCTGCTTTTCTTTTTTTTCTTTTTTAAGTTCAAATACTTTTTGTTCGCCCCCCCCATAGGGCCTTCTTACAGTAACCATTTCAAGTGAGGGGCCCTTTACAGATATCAATGAATGTCTTGGGGCTTGTTTTTGTTTTTAAAACCATGTTTCTTTCATGCTTAAAGTTTAGTGGGACGGGGGGTGATTTCTAGAAAAAGTGCCCCATGGCCTTCAACCAACTCCTGGGCCATATTTAAACTGACCTATAGCATTCCACCGACTCCAGGGGTTATATTTAAACTGCCCAATAGCATCTGCAAACTCCTGAGGTTTTATTTCATTTCATATTAATCAAAACTCACCATCCTCACCCACCCACCTCTCTTACTATGGGTGCACCCCCATCAAAATTAACCCTATGGCAACAAGCGTGAGTAATCACAGTCACCCTGACTATTCAGTGAGGGGGGTGGTTAAACCTGTTCAGTTCAACAGAATAAGTCAGCTCTATTGTACTCAACCACATGTCTGAACCACCGGGACATCCGGTGGGTGGGGCTAAGGGGTCAAGGGGCGGGGTTAGGGTTTGATTGACGGTAGGGCCCTTATACTACATCCGATACTAATTGAGAGTCAGACTCTGAGACACCTCCGTGAGGGTCATTGGGAGTAGATGGGACTCCGTCTAGAGAGCACTCTGAGGAATTTTCTAAACCAGAGTCTGATTTCGCCTCCCCATTTTCAGACATGCCAGTTTGAGAGCCTCTGGTAGGGGGCATCTCTTTTTGTTTTTTTTCCCTCATTACCTCTTTAGCCCTTTTTAAAATTTTTACAGCGACCCTGGCCTGGAATTACTACTGATCTGAATGAGAAGCAGATTGACCCATATCTGCCTGCTGTTGGGTTTCGTTCACCTTCCCTTGAAGCATCTGGAGCTGCCACTGTTGGATACAGGATACTGGGCTAAATGGACCTCAGGTCTGATCCAGCCTGGCCATTCCTATGTCTAGGTGCTGCACTAGATCCCGCCCAAACAATAGAGTGAAACAGCAATAGAAGGGACAGCTGCATAAACCACAGGGTCCTGTGGACATGCCAGTTTTAAATCTATCCAGACCCTGCTTGTGGGGGGCGGATATCAGTGCATGAAAATATCCTGCTTCTGTCCCACTTCCCCCCTCCTCCAGAGCTCTCTTTAGAGACACAAGTTTCTTTACCCAGGTTATATGCTGAGGGCTGGTACAGGGAGCTAGTGACGACCTACAGATGGCCCAAGTTTGGTTGGTCCTCATTTCCAGAAGGTTGGTTTGTTTTTCCTGCCTGGAGCAGGGTTAGGAGAAGGTTTGTCTTAAATGAGACAGAGATGGAGGGAATGAATCAGGTTAGTATCCACCAGTATTTGGAAATGATCAGCCCAAATCTAGCCCTGCCACGAGCAGGTGAGATGTCACTGAAGCCAACAGAGCTCACAGCGGGTCTGAATCTGGCCCTTAATAAGCACTTTGAACACGCATTGACATGGGCGGTGGGTGACCCGTCGGTTTGGGGACGCTAGCCCCCGGCTGGCCCTGCCCCTCCCGCCCCTGACCCCACCAGAGCCTCCCCCCCCCGCCACAGCATGCCGGGTGGGTGGCATGCAGCCCCCCCAATGCGCCGAACCCTCCCAACACAGGGTGGGCAGGCCCAGCACCGGCAGCCCCTGCCCCCAATTGGCCAGATGGTACAACCCCAGCACCCGGGGACCCCCCCAGCACTGGGCAGCCCCAGCCGCCCCAAGTCCCAGCCACAGGCCAGCCACAGCTACACTAGCCCTAGCCCCAGCCCCAGCATGCTTCCCTGAAGAGGAGCTGCCAGCCTGCCAGGGCTGGGGCTAGGGTTGCCAACCCTCCAGGATTGGCTTGGAGTCTCCCGGAATCGCCATCGATCTCCCGGTGACTATTGAAAGCAATCCAGGAGATTTTGGTAGGATATATTAAGACAATGACAATACGTCATGTTGGGGGGAAAAGAAATCTCCCGGAATAGCTTCAGTCAGAGTTGGCAACCCTAGCTGGGGCCAAGGGCAAGCAGGAAGGGGCCTTCCAGGTGGCGTGGGGGCGGGGCCATGCTGGGCTGTTTGGGGAGGCACAGCCGCCCCCAGCCTATGATACGTGCCATCCACGAGCATTGGTGAGCTTGCCAGAGGGCTGGATATTGGACGATTTCAGAAGGTCAGATGGCTGAAAACAAAGATGAGGAGCGGTTGTGTCTCTGGCCCTCAGGCTGGGTGTCACTCAGGGAAAGCAGAACCTTTGTTCTGTAAACTCAGTCACCAGGAGTAACTGGAGAGTGACACACACGTTCTTGCTGGGAGGGACACCTTTGGGAGAGATGGCAATTTCAGCAGGGGGACACACAGCCTTGGCTGCTGGGCCGTGAAGAGATCCCTGCTCCATGCAGGCCAAGGGAAAATATTCTGTGCAAGCAAAATGATCCACTTGAGTGCTGAAAGTCAGAGATGACAGTACCTGCCGATAGTGGGGGGGGGGCAGCAGCTTCAGCAGATGTTGCTGAACATGCTCCGTACACGTGAGCCTGCTCGCTACAAGCCAAGCAGAAAATCTGGGGGATGGGGGTGCACTTGACCCCATGTGACCCACACACACATGCATCACCTCTGCCTACAGTTGAGCAATTAAATCCACTTAGGTGGTAAAATATGGATTTAGGTGCCCATGTTTGAAAATACTGGCCTTCTTCTGTCCCTTGAACTTCACAGCCAGTCTGAAGGTGCCTTTCGTAGCCCTTTCATGTGCAGTGTATTCTCTAACAAGCCTTTTGATTTCTGTTTTCCCTCTGGAAACTGCTGATAAATGCCGGTCTTGCTTAATCTAAACCGAGCTGGGGAAGTTTCAGGCCAATGGAAGGAGAGTCTGGATCGTCTATAAGAAGACAGGGAGATACACGGGAAAGCGACTACCTGCTTACCAGGTCTAGAGGGCAAAGAAAGTTATGCTTTTCATCTGGTTGTTGATATTACAGAAGCGCCTCACGGCCCCAGTCAAGCTCGGGGCTCCAATGTGCTAGGCACTGTGCAGACATGTGCGACAGAAGGGCTGATGGGTACAAATGATCCGAGGGTCCGAGACACAGCCTTGCCCTCCCACTCATCCACAATCCCCACAAGTCTAAGTAATCAAAGGGACAACATGGGAGAGGTAATATCTTTTATTGAACCAAATTCTGTTGATGGGAGTTACAAGCTTTGGAGCTTCACAGAGCTTTTCATAGAATCATAGAAGACCCGGGCGGGAGGGATAGCTCAGTGGTTTGAGCATTGGCCTGCTAAACCCAGGGTTGTGAGTTCAATCCTTGAGGGGGCCATTTGGGATCTGGGGCAAAAATTGGGGTTCGCTCCTGCGTTGAGCAGGGGGTTGGACAAGATGATCTCCTGAGGTCTCTTCCAACCCTGATATTCTATGATCAGGGTTGGAAGAGACCTCAGGAGGTCATCTAGTCCAATCCCCTGCTCAAACCAGGACCAACCCCAACTAAATCATCCCAGCCAGGGCTTTGTCAAACTGGGCCTTAAAAACCTCTAAGGATGGAGATTCCACCACCTCCCTAGGAAACCCATTTCAGTGCTTCACCACTCTCCTAGTGAAATCTTTTTTCCTAATATCCAACCTAGACCTCCCCCACTGCAACCTGAGACCATCGCTCCTTGTTCTGTCATCTGCCACCACTGAGAACAGCCGAGCGCCATCCTCTTTGGAGCCCCCCTTCAGTTAGTTGAAGGCTGCTATCAAATCCCCTCTCACTCTTCTCTTCTGCAGACTAAATAACCCCAGTTCCCCCAACCTCCCTCATAAGTCATGTGCCCCAGACTCCTAATCATTTTCATTGCCCTCCGCTGGACTCTCTCCAATTTGTCCATTTTCTGCAGGTTGGGGAAGGAAAGCAGAATGTCTGAGCTAAATACAAGGGAGGCAGACAATTAAGTATCAGGGATTCACACACTCTGCAGGAGACCATTTAAAATAAAGCGGCCAACTGAGGATTAGCAGGCAGTGGGGTGAGTTTCAAATTGCTGTAATGAGCTGTAAAACCAGTGTCCCTGTTGAGTCCATGGCTTTTAGTGTCCAGCAGAGTTATGAATTGAAATTCCTGGGCTCATCTTTTGAAGGCGTTGTGCAGGTTTCTTTTGAGGATGAGGACTGAGAGGTCAGCTATGGAGTGATCGCTTTGTGAAAAGTGTTCGCACGTGGATGATGTGTGGTTGTTCTTGATCATTTTACTGGGTGAGTTCGTTTGAGAGCTTAGCGATTGTCTGGTTTCACCCACATTTAGTGCCCAGAATGAGGTGCACCACATATTGTGACAGGCACATGTGGGACCCCTGGACCTTGAAAGGCATGTGGTGGTGATATTGATCATTGTAGCAGCGGAGATCGGTCTCTGGGGTTTGCATCTGTTGTTCCGGCAGGATCTGCTGCTGTTTTGAGTTGGTGTGTCCTGCAAACAAAGTCAGCAAATACAGAGAAAATCCCAGAACCTAGGACTCTTGCGGCAGCCCTGATAAACATCCATCCATAAGGCCATAGCCTGCTCTGGACATCAGTGAGCATCTCACAACAGCACGCAGTTTCACCTTGGATCAAGGGAATAACAATTAATGACTGTGCACTGAAGCCGAGGCGGTTCCATTTTTGCCGTCTCTCTAACATCCAGTAGATGGCAGCACTAGGCAAGCATTTCCACCCTGAAGTGATTTGATTTAATACTCTCTTGTGGCCTGGGAGAGGTTTCCTGGGATAGTCAAGGCCCATGGATAGTTTTGTGTAACGGGCTACAGACAATGACTGTCTGAACAGACATGTAGGGAAAGCTGGGGGGAAAAAATTCCAGGCACCATCTCACTTTGAATTGTGAATGTGGCTCTGTGTAGATAGAAGGATCCCACGCCATGATCTGATTGCAGGATTGGGGCCTTGGTTTGGAAATAATTAAATGGCAGGGAGCGGGGAAATCAAGCAGTTCCAATTCACTAGAGGTACCACATAAAAGAAACCAAACATGTCACTCATAAAAGAATTGTTACCTGCCCACATGTGTAGCCAGCCCAATGCTAGCACCTGGACAATCTGGTTACCTCTTCAGCCAGGCAAGGCAGTAATCAGCACTGAGGGAAACAAGACTTCGTGGAATGGCTTATTCAGAAAACAATGTTCATCAGCATGGGGGGGGGCACTGAAATCAGACGAGGAGATGGGGCAGTGGGAATACTGGGACTGGCTGGACCAGGAGACAAGGAACCAGTGGGGAATAGGTGACAGATCTGACCAATATCAAGGGTGTGGGGGGAGAACTGGGAGTGGCTGGGCAAAAAGACCGGGACAAGGAGCCAGGTATAGAGAGTAGGAGACTGAGATTGTACGAGGAGGCTGGGAAAAGAGAGACTGGGCCTGGGAGCTGGCTGGGAGAGTAGGAGAGAGACAGATCAACTGAGGATCTGGGAGGGGGAACTGGGACGGGCTGGGCAAGAAGCCTGGGATTGGGTGTGGGGAGAAGGAGAGACTGAGACTCAGCGATCTGGGAGGGGGAGACTAGGACTCTTCACCCTACATACAGTGGTTATTGTTAGGCTTCCAAATGAGAGTGAACACAAAGAGGAAAATAAGAAAGCTGTGTATTGAAAGCTAAATTCAACTGCACAAGCAAGCTGAACAGGAATGCCCTTGCTGAGCCAAGCACGCCCAACACAACGCCCTCCTGGGGTGCTGAAACCGACAGTCACAGGAATAAGGACACCTATGGTCCCATCCTCAGCCCTGCCACTCATTTTCTGTGTTACCTTGGGCAAATCACTTAACCCCACAGAGCCTCAGTAGTCCCATCTATAAAATGGGTTTAAAAATAACTGTTTCCTTTACAGGGGTGTTGCAAGGTACAATGAATGAAAAATGCTTTGAGAGCCTTGGCTGAAAGGTAGTACATAATCATAGAATTATAGACTATTAGGGTTGGAAGAGACCTCAGGAGGTCAGCTAGTCCAATCCCCTGCTCAAAGCAGGACCAACACCAACTAAATCATCCCGGCCAGGGCTTTGTCAAGCCAGGCCTTACAAACCTCTAGGTCACTCTGGACCCTATCCCTACCCTCCAGCATATCTACCTCTCCCCCCAGCTTAGGCTCTCTGATACTGCACGTTTAGTGGACCTCTATTATGTTCTGGCCTGTGATGTGTCTGTAATAAATACATATGGGCTGGATGAATGGACTATAAGGTGGATAGAAAGCTGGCTAGATCATCGGGCTCAACGGGTAGTGATCAATGGCTCCATGTCTAGTTGGCAGCCAGTATCAAGCGGAGTGCCCCAAGGGTCGGTCCTGGGGCCGGTTTTGTTCAATATCTTCATGAATGATCTGGAGGATGGCATAGATTGCACCCTCAGCAAGTTTACAGATGACACTAAACTTGGAGGAGAGGTAGATACGCTGGAGGGTAGGGATAGGATACAGAGGGCCCTAGACAAATTAGAGGACTGGGCCAAAAGAAATCTGATGAGGTTCAACAAGAACAAGTGCAGAGCCCTGCACTTAGGACAGAAGAATCCCATGCACCGCTACAGACTAGGGACCGAATGGCTAGGCAGCAGTTCTGCAGAAAAGGACCTAGGGGTTACAGTGGACGAGAAGCTGGATATGAGTCAGCAGTGTGCCCCTGTTGCCAAGAAGGCCAATGGCATTTTGGGATGTATAAGTAGGGGCAAAGCGAGCAGATCGAGGGACGTGATCATTCCCCTCTATTCGACATTGGTGAGGCCTCATCCGGAGTACTGTGTCCAGTTTTGGGACCCACACTACAAGAAGGATGTGGAAAAATTGGAAAGTGTCCAGCAGAGGGCAACAAAAATTATTAGGGGACTGGAACACATGACTTATGGGGAGAGGCTGAGGGAACTGGGATTGTTTAGTCAGCGGAAGAGAAGAATGAGGGGGGATTTGATAGCTGCTTTCAACTACCTGAAAGGGGCTTCCAAGGAGGATAGATCTAGACTGTTCTCAGTGGTGGCAGATGACAGAACAAGGAGTAATGGTCTCAAGTTGCAGTGGAGGAGGTTTAGGTTGGATATTAGGAAAAACTTTTTCACTAGGAGGGTGGTGAAGCACTGGAATGCGTTACCTAGGGAGATGGTGGAATCTCCTTTCTTTGAGGTTTTTAAGGTCAGGCTTGACAAGTTGGTGTTGGTCCTGGTTTGAGCAGGGGGTTGGACTAGATGACCTCCTGAGGTCCCTTCCAACCCTGATATTCTATGATTCTATGATAATGGGCCAACTTCATCCTCCATGCAACTCCATTGACTTCATAGATAGTGGTCATCAGTGCTGTAACTCCAGTGAAGTCAATGGAGACTGAGATTTAGCCCTAGGTTTTCTGCTTTCCAAGAGAGTTCAGTGCACCTGATCTTTTATAGCAGCTGAGAATGAGACCCGCAAAGGAATGTTAAAAACCTGGGTTTGTGCCCTTCCTTATGGTGGGTTAAAAAGTGTAGCTGGGTGTACACTGGCCCTTTAAAGGAGCTTGTAGTCCAGTCACAGCCAGGTCCTGGGACCCAGGACAAAGCCATTCTGGGAGATGTCTAGAGGGACTGATGGGCGGGCAGACCATGGAATATGTGACTGTGTTCGGGTGATCACAGGATTATATAATGCAAGCTCTGTTGATTGGTTTGGGAGAGGTCAGATTTGGAGGGTGTTTTTCCACCTATAGCACTGGGGAAATAGCCCAGGAAGTGCTGTGGAAAAGGGCCTGTAAAAAGAGGCCCTATCCGCTGGGCCCTGCTGCAAACAAGCTAGCTTCTTACAACAGAATGAACTGGCTTGGCAGCAGAATTATTCTGTATAGGTATTTCCCGACTAAACAGTGTTGCGTGTGTGAGTAAGAACTAAGACGACGGAGACATGACACAGGGTGACAAAGTTCCTTTCTGGGGTAGGAGAGGAATAGGAACAGTCAGCTTTCTGGAAAGCCCTAACAATAGCCAAGCTTTATGTTAAACTTGTTTTTCTGGGCCTGTCATGGAACTTTCTGTTTGAAGCAGTTTAATGCTCTCAGGTATTTGGTCTAGGACTTGCTCTATTCTGTCCTGGAGCAGTGCCAGGTGAGCGGCCAGTGAAAGTTCTACGGGCCAGTGTCTCTCCATGAATTGTCACTGCTGGAAATCAGAAGTGTAACTGGACTGGAAGCTTCGCGTTTCATCTTTCCAATGGTTTGTCCAGCTGAGAGGTCTGCATCTGTAGCAATGTAGCTCTGCCTGCTTTGTATGGGCACTTCTGAGACACCCCCACTCGTCCTTGTATGGGAATGCACTCAGGCTTGCAGTTGCACACATGGACACACTCCTACATGTGGACACACCTGTTTCCTGAAAATCCAGCCTTTAATCTCTAACTCTGCCACTTCGAGCGGCTCAAATCACATCCAAACTGACGAGGAGAGGGGGGAAATTGTGATTAGAAGTATGTGATTTTAAGGCTCGTTATATTATATATGTGCAAAATGTAATGAATGCATGGCCTTGGATATACAGACGGCATCGTGATTGGCAGGGAAAGAGCCCAGGACCTTCAGCGTCAAAAACATTCCCCCTTATCAACTGAGCTACAATAGTTCTCCTGTAAGCGTATGTAAGTACCAGGCTTTTATCCTTGATCCGAGCCAAACATTAAAGGAAGTCCTGGTCATACGCACTAAGTGAGTGTACACCCAGGCCAGATGTATCCTGGCAGGTCAGTGCAAATGCTTTCAGGGCCTAACATTTTCTAAGTATTGGACATGGAGAGAAACATTTCGCTCCCTGCTCCAAAGGGACTGTTCCCTCTTTGGCTGGTGTCACTGATGTCTCTGCATGTGCAGCTCCAAATTCAGCTTGTCTCCTTTTGCTGTCATATCATATTTGCAAGACTCAGAAAGCTCTAGATCTCTGAATGGAGAAGAACATCTGCAGTGACCTTCAGCTAAGATAGAGTTCTGGAGCTGATTGCAGGAAGGTTTCCTGCAACCTCTCTGTAGCATGCACAGTTGGTCCGGTGCATTAGGGTGGGGTGGAATCATCTTCCTGTGATATATCGGACTCTAGCTGGTACCAAAAGCAGTTTGAGAAACTAGAGCACCCAACAGAGAGGACGTATGGTCCAGTGGCTATTGCTGTGATTCAAGGTTTAGTTCCCTGGTCTGTCACAGATGTTGTTTGACCTTGGTCAAGTCACTTAATCTCTCTGTGACTCAGTTCTCCATCTGTGAAGTGGGGCATCACAGCACTGTACTGCCTCATGAGGGGATTGTGAGGAGAAATATATTAAGACTGTGATGTATTCTCAGACCCTATGGTAATTGTGGCTGTAAAATACCCAAGATGGATAAGATATAAGAACATAAGAATGGCCATACTGGGTCAGACCAAAGGTCCATCTAGCCCAGTGATGGAATAGTCAATGATACCTTAAGAGTTAGTCTCTCTTGGCTCAAGTCTCACTACCTTCCTAGGTAGCTCTTCACCTCCCCCTACCCCTTTTTCCCTGCCTCTCCTCACTTCAACTCTTTCTCTGTGTTAAAAGTTAAGTTGTAGTTTTTATAGAAACCTCCAAAAGATAAAGCAATTGAAAACAGAACAAAACAAGAAACAAAAAGAAAACAAGGTAAAAACTTTACTTTAAATAAATCCAGTAAATTAATTATTTTAACCCTTCAGGAATGCAACAGCTGGAATTATTCCTAACTTTCTTGAAGATATGGTTGCCAAGCAACAGAAATGCACACTCTGCTTCTAATCCGAACCACTCACTCATATTTGAACCATGGGCTTTTCTTACTTCCGTACAGCAGAGTTTTAAAATAATGTTAAATATAAAGTAATGCAAAATTCCTTGTTACCAAATTAATACATTTGGCAAATATTAATATATTTTTTATCAATTTTTGTTAAAAGTTTTAAATAAGGTAATAACTTGTTTGTTCAAAGGTTTAACCCTTTTTATTTTTGTTTGCCTTATTTTGTACAGTTGGTTTAATTTTATATGCTTTTCTTTTGTTATGTTAATGGGAAGCAGTGGTTGTTAAAGTTTGTGCTTCTAAACAGTTAACAAGCGTGAAAGTGGTATCACAAGCAAATAAACTCTAAAAAGCTTGGTAAAAATTATGTTATTGACTCTCTTGCTAACACAGAACGTTCAGCAGGGGGAAAGAAAGCAATACACCTTCTCACAGAAGATTGTGAGCATTTATTTTAGCAGTTAAGCATTAGAATCATAGAATCATAGAATATCAGGGTTGGAAGGGACCTCAGGAGGTCATCTAGTCCAACCCCCTGCTCAAAGGAGGACCAAGCCCCAATTTTTGCCCCAGATCCCTAAGTGGCCCCCTCAAGGATTGAACTCACAACCCAGGGTTTAGCTGGCCAGTGCTCAAACCACATTACATTTAGTATAAAATATTAGTAATGCACCTCAAGTGAAAATGAATGTCTATACAACAATTGCAAAAGCATAGCCGGTGTTATAAAAGACTCGGTCCTTATTATATTGTCCCTCTTACATTGTAAACAAACTAAGTTAAACTTTGTATTAAGTTTGGGTTACTGAAAATAAAAAACAAAAACAAAAAACTTTACTATGTTAACTAACAAAAGTTGTTTAAGTTGCATCCCACAGACCAAAGACACCAGAAAATATCAGTATACAGTGAAGAAACCCCCCAAGCATCAAGAAAAGAAAAATGAAGTGCTTTATAAATAAGAGACTGGTCAAATACACTTCTATCTACCATATATGGACAATTAAGTTAACAATCAGCTAAAAACCACTAGCTGGACCAGGATAAACTATCATAAACTGCCAAAAAGCAAACAGAATGTTGGGAATCATCAAGAAAGGGAGTGATAATAAGACAGAAAATATCACATTGTCTCTGTATAAATCCATGGTGCATGCACACCTTGAATACTGCATGCAGAAGTGGTTGCCCCATCTCAAAAAAGATATATTGGAATTCGAAAAGGTTCAGAAAAGAGCAACAAAAATGATTAGGGGTATAGAAAGGCTTCCGTCTGCAGAGAGATGAATAAGACTGGGACTTTTCAGCTTGGAAAAGAGGCGACTAAGGGGGCATATGATAGAGGTCTATAAAATCATGAGTGGTATAGAGAAAATAAATAAGGAAGTGTTATTTACTCCTTCTCAAAATACAAGAACAAGGGGCCACCAAATGAAATTAATAGGTAGCAGGTTTAAAACAAACACAGGAAAGTATTTTTTTACGCAACGCACTGTCCACCTCTGGAACTCCTTGCCAGAAGGTGTTGTGAAGGCCAAGACTATAATGGGGTTCAAAAGGGAACTAGATAGATTCATGGAGGATAGATCCATCAATGGCTATTAGCCAGGATGGGCAAGAATGGTGTCCCTAGCCTCTGTTGGCCAGGAGCTGGGATTGGGTGACAGGGCATGGATCACTTGATGATTACCTGTCTGACAATTCCCTTTGGGACACCTGCCATTGGCCACTGTCAGAGGACAGGACACTGGGCTGGATGGACCTTTGGTCTGACCCAGTCTGGCCATTCTTACGTTCTTATTTAATTTCACCTTGGTTACGGTGTAAAAATAACGGAATTATCATTGTACTGTTGTATTATTGCTGTATTGTGTTACTGCTGGACAACACTTACCATGTGCAGAGCCTTGCTAAACTGCTTAACACACACACACAGGTACAAATCAACAAATGAATGGCAGCGAACAGCATGAAGGCAAGGAGAAACAAATCGGTTAAAAAAAAAATTGTTACACAGTAACTACAAATTAGGTATATAAATTCCCTGTTAGTACTGGTCACAATTTGGGGTCAGTAACACTGTATCCTAACTGAGGCACATGTTATTCAAAACAATTCTGTTCCGTGGCTGGGTACCAACACTAAATCCTGACACAGCAATACTGGATACATTGGTAACTGTCCATTCAGTAGGTTTTCTGAGAAACAACATCCACAAAAACAACTGGATCTACATCAACTACTGGTGTACCATGGGGCAATGCAATCCCTGGGACAGAGAAGCTAGCTGCTCCTGTTTCCTGCCCAGAGGGTGACAATCAGCAGTAAGGGAAACCCATAACGTGAACGCACAGTACTGGGTGGTAACTAATTACAAGACGTTTATATATAAAGGTCCCATTGGTAGTGTCGCTACTCCAAATTTCTGTTTCACTTCTCATATACATAATGCTGTGGAACACACTAGAACAAACCTACCCCAGTATTTCAAAACACTCAGCCTACTGCTAATGATGATACAGGTGATAACTGCAGTTGCCCTACTAGGAGTGTGTTTCTATCTGTGTCACCAAACTAAAAGAGCCAGAGTACAACACCAGACTGGAAAAACACGTGTAACCCTTCTGCCCGTCAGAGTTGGCAGCAACAAGGGCCAGGTTCAGTATCTAGGGGTTCAGTTTCAATAACACAATGCAAAACCAGCTCGATCCCCCACCCAGTGACCTGGGACAATTACATACCACCCCCCTGGGCACCTCTAAGAGGCAATACTTCCCCTCTCGCAAAAACAGAGTCTGAGTGTAGCAAAAGCCTTTTAATAAAGGAGGGAAGCAATGCGGCATTATGTTGGGGAAACACCACAAGCAGGATTCATAACACCAACCGTGAGCAAAAGACCCACCCCCAAGTAAATTTGTCAATGTCCTTTTCCCCTCAGGGCCTTAAGTCCAGCAACCCAATTGTCACCCCCCCCACACACACACACACAGTTTCTATCCTTGGTCCGTGCAGCCCACCAGAGTTTATCTGCAGAGTTTACCTACCAGCCTGAGTGGAAGTGGAGGGAGGTATGGGGGGCATCTTACATGCTCTCAGGTCGACGGCCAAGTGCTACGCCTCTCCATAGGGTTCTGCTGAAGTCTTCACCACCAGCCACGCCCCTCCATCAGATGCCCTGCTGTCCGCTCCTCTCTGCCAACCACTCCCGCTGCTCTCCATGCTAGCTGTCCTGCTGTCCGCTCACCAACTAATAGGATAAACATGGACAAGGATGGCACCAGAACAGTCCGGTACAAAGACATTCCACAGAGATCATGAGGAACAGGGATGACCCATCCTAAAAGACAGCATCAAAAGGATAATATGATGGATAGACTCGTTTGTTCAAACCAACATGTACCAGGAGAGAGGCAGCACCCCAACACACAGAGGAGTGGTACCTTGCTACGTAGAGGGCTTGCACCTTGATACGTCAGGAGTGATGTGTAATTTGTTTGTACCTGTGTATAGGAATGTACACCTGAGGAGTTGTCTTTGTCCGGCCTAGGGAGCAGTGGAGTGTCCCGTCACTGACTGAGCTGTGTCCATTGTCAGGGAGCACATATGTACTAGCAGAACTGTAGACATCTGATCCGGGGAGCTAGGGACTGTGTTTCGTTTGGCCATAAACCCGGCCGGGTGCCTTCGTACCCTATCGGAGTCTGGGGTCATTAGGGGTTCTCTTGGGGTCTGCTGTGTCAGTGATCTGTGCGGAGCCGGGGCAGCACGCAGAGGGAGCACACGCACGCAGCCGACTGTTATCAACATGGGATAGAGCAGAGCACCACTCTGGTGGCGTCTGACAACCAGGGCCGGCTCCAGGCACCAGCCTTCCAAGCAGCTACTTGGGGCGGCAGTTAGAAAGGGGCAGCAGTGTTTGTGCAGCAGCGGGAAGTCGGCGGCGGCCCCTCTGTCCCGCCGGCCGTGGCGGGAAGTCGGCGGCGGCCCCTCTGTCCCGCCGGCCGTGGCGGGAAGTCGGCGGCGGCTCCTCCCTTTTGCCATCCATGGCGGGAAGTTTTTTCACTGCTTGGGGCGGCCAAAACTGTAGCACCGGCCCTGCTGACAACAGAGTCCTGCTACCTCCACCATCTTTCTGTTGATCTCTGGCCCAAGTGATGGGAAATCTGCTGTGGTTCCATTTGCCAACAACCACTTTTGTAAAACGCTGTAACTTAGCACTTACAAAGGCCACCTCCAATCAATCATCCCAGGCTCTGCAGGAGCATGTCTCTTTAGAGACAGCAAACTCAAGCAGCCAGTGCCAGAACCACAGTAACTTCAGTGTGCAGCATTCAGTAACTGCCCTGAGTACCGGAAAACTGGCTGCTCCGGCAACTTTGTCTGCACTCTCCCTTTCTACTCCTAAGCCTGTCTCCGGATCCTTGGCCAGCCCAGCCTCTTTAGTATTCTCACCTCGTTGCCCGCTAAGCAACTGCAGCTGCTGAGGAGCTGAACTTTATGGCCTCTGACTGCTTTGCTGGTCCGTTTCCCCTGGTCTGGATTGTCATACAATTTCCCATAAGGGATCCGCAATTCCCAGCTGGGCATGGGAGCGACAGCCCCCTGATTGGAGCAGCAGGATCCTCTGGAAGCAGGAGTTGAGCAGAGTGTGGCTGGAAGCTGGTTCTTTGCCAGTCCTCCGGTGCTAAAACAGAAAGTGGGGACTTTTTTCTTTCTTTCTTTTCCTTTGTTGTTGCTTTGAATGAAAACAAGAGTGAGAAAAACAAACCAGCTCCCACTCTCCAGTCCTGATCATTCTTTTCAGGGGCTCCTCTTCCCCCTTTGTTGCTGGGAAACAATGGAGCTTTTCAAGTGGAGCCTGCATTGGATGTGCCTCCTTCCTTTGCTACAGGGTAAGTTTTTCTTCTTGGTGATAGCCAAACAAGAACCCCTTTGCCCCGTAGACCTGAGATCAGTTTGCTGCTACTGTAGAGTCTGTATTTGTTTTATTGTAAAGCTCTAAATCCAGTAGCAGTGAAATGTGTTATTCTGCAGGTGCCTCTCCACATAGCATTGAACAACAGCTGGGTTTAAATACATCGAGTGACCATTTCTAGTCGTAAGCAGACATGCATCCCATGAGGCCAGAGAGCATTTCCAATGGTGTCCCAGCTGCACTGGGTGTTGAGAGGCATTGCTGGCTAGTGGTTTGCAGGCAGAACTCCTAGGTTCTAATTCTGCTTCTGACCTTGGGTAAGTCACTTAACTGTCCCTTGCCTCAGCTTCCCCATCTGAAAAAGTTTGTCAGAATGCAATGAATTAGTATGAGTGTTCAGGGTGTGCTGGGGAAGATGCTTAACTACTAGAGCCTGAAGGACTACAGGTCTTGTTGCTCATGAGGGATACTTTCTTTCAATTCATTAATTTTTGAAACTGCAGACAGAAATCACAGCTGTTTGCAGAGAGGAACCAAACCCATTCACCCCGGAGCTTAGAGGAGCTCAGGCATAACAAGACTCCAACCCAAGCCAGCCCGACTTTTGGTCTGTAGGACCACCGCCTGCCTAACAAGATTTTGCAAAGCCACAAGGAAAGCTATCTGCATAGCATGCTCAGGGCTGGAATATCTCACAGTACTTTTGAGATCCTTCCCAGCTGTCACTCAGAACAGCAGCGATGAGCTCCAAAGGATGCCCTATCCCTAGGTCAGAGAGGGCCACCACTGTGATGTAGTCTGTGTGATGTTGGGCAGCAGTAAAGAGTTAAAACTGGGGGGAACCTTAAGCATCATGTCCCCACTCAAAAACAGGCACTAGTAAAATGAGCAGGGACCGATACAGCTGTAGATCAACCAAGGGGCTCTGGGTTATAATGGATGAACCTCTCCAGCCGTTTGCATAGTGAACGTAGCTGCCAAAAACTCTGATGCCTTTTGTCCTGCATAACCCCAGCCTGGATTTCCCCTTCCATCTGGGACAGGCTGAAATCCAAGCTGGCTGACTTACAGATCATGTTGTAATAGCATGGGATGTGGATTGCACTCTGCTTGGTGATGACTGAGAGCTCTGAAGTGATAGTAACATTAACCATTTGGAGATAAAGGACATTTTCCCATTTATCCCAGCCCGGGCTGGGTAGCCTCAGAGCAACCCCCTCCCGCTTTCACCATTTCCTATTTTCATCATAATAATAGGAAAACTCTATCCACTTTTACCCTAACACCAGCCATAAACATGCATGCCCCAGTTCAAGACACATTCTCCCTAGGCTCCTGTTGTGGGACAAAAGTGAAGAATCACCGAAAGCATTGCTTTCTTCTAACACTGACCAAGGAACTTTATTGGAATAAAGAAAAACAACATGGTTCCTCATGCTTCTCTCTCTCTCTCTCTCTCTCTGTGGATTTCACTCTAGAACGGGGGTTCTCAACCTTTTCCTTTTTGAGGCTCCCCCAACATGAGAACCACTGCTATAGAGCTTTTCCCTAACCCCCAATTCCTTCCTGCTGTAGCTTTTTAAAGAAACAGTACACACCCTTATACCTCGGTAGGAGCTACCCTGACTCCTAGCTGAGAGGAGAGCAATTTGGGAAAAAGTCGTCACTGAATCTCGGGGCTTAGAAAGCAAGCCCTCATTGAAGAGCTTTGCCTTGAGCACCAGATTTGCTTGAATGGGCCCTGGTTTTAGTTACCCGAAATCAACACGGGAGAGAACAAAAGTCAAATTTCTGTGGGGGAACACAGTGCATACAGCAACATTGTCCTAGGCTGTAGCCACTGGCTGCTGATTCTATGAGCTCTGCGCGCAGCGAGTCCTTAAGAATGTAGGGCAGAGAAATCAAAAGGCATCATAGTCGGAGTGGCCAGGGTACAGATTCAGCTTGAATGAGCAAAAGTTCAAACCATCTAAAGATCACCAGTCTGCAGGACTGGGTGCAAAATCTCAGGAGAACAGATTTCGGAACAGGAGATTTGGGATACAGCTCTTCCTGCAGCTCTAGGGACAGAAAAACTGCAGATGGAACCTGGAAGCTCAGAGGCAGAAGCAGAAAGAAAAAATAAAAGGGGAAATGAACTCCTTGGCTGAGTTCTGGTGGAGCAGGTCTGGATCTGTCCTGGTTCTTATCTGACCTGTTTCTCTGCAGCCACCACTGGTTTAGTTGTGAGAGTAGAAATCACAAGTGGGCACCTCACGCAGTTTAGAATATCAGAGCATTACCACTAGTCTAAACCAGAGAAATTACCCAGATTAAAGCCTTTCCAATATTTGTAAAACACTCTGCAGACACACCCAAATGCCCCAAATGGTCTAACGAGCTTGAACAGATGACCTTTCATCAGGTTTAATAACCAGCAAAAGCTTAATAGGTTTATTCTGAATCAGTTCAGCACACAGACAAGCTGAAACAGATCAGTAAGTTCTAGGGTTACCACCCTTGAAATGCAAAAAAAAAAAAAAAAAAAATGCCACCTCCCCTACTTTCAAAACAAGCCCACTCAAACCCCAACCACAAGGCAACTCTGCATCCTCCCGCCCCCCTTCCACAGCCGCTGATAGTGACTCACACCCTCTCTCACTGTTGGAGAGCTGACAGCTGCTGTATTTTCAACAGTTTTGATCTACCACTTGAACTGCAGAAGTGGGAACACTACAGCATCCTTACTGGACACAAACTTTGAACATTAGATACCCCAGTGTATTGCAATAATAATGCAATCTTTAAATACACGTAAAAAAAACCCCGGCAGATTAAATTATTTTTCTGGCAACTGGCAAATCCATTAAAAAAAAAACGGTCAGGCCGGTCAGATATTGGCCAGGTGGCAACCCTAGTTAATTCTCTCAGGGCTGACAATGCCAAAATATCTCCCAGAATGCACTGTGTCTGGGAGCAAGTCAAGAATTGTGGGATATGTACCCAGATGGTGGTGCAACTGAAAACAATCTAGGTGAATGCTTAAACCCATTCAATACAACTTTCAGAGTAGCAGCTGTGTTAGCCTGTATCCGCAAAATGAACAGGAGGACTTGTGGCACCTTAGAGACTAACAAATTTATTAGAGCATTAGTTATTGTGGGCTACCACCCACTTCAGCAGATGCATAGAATGGAACATATAGTAAGAAGATATATAGATATATAGATATACATACAGAGAAAGTGGAAGTTGCCATACAAACTGTAAGAGGCTAATTAATTAAGATGAGCTAGTATCAACAGGAGAAAAAAACTTTTGTAGTGATAATCAAGATGGCCCATTTAGACAGTTGACAAGGTACCACAAGTCCTCCTTTTCTTTTTGTAGATACAGACTAACACGGCTGCTACTCTGTAGCCTCTTACAGTTTGTATGGCAACTTCCACCTTCTCTGTATGCGTATATATATAAAATCTTCTTACTATATGTTCCATTCTATGCATCCGACGAAGTGGGCTGTAGCCCATGAAAGCTCATGCTCTAATAAATTTGTTAGTCACTAAGGTGCCACAAGTACTCCTGTTCTTTATTCAATACAACTGGTTCAGTTCTGTAGTGTAAACAGGGCCTAAGAAACCAGACATTCTCCTATCTGAAGCCTATTTCTCCCCCACCCCTAATACAGTCCTGTCCTGCTGGCATCTTAAAATCCCTCCCCACCCCCCGCTCCTGCTGCTGCGTGCAGCAAAGGAAGTGTATTTCATTTACCAGAACTCAAGTGTATTCAAATTCTCTGCTGGGGTGTAATCAATGGAATTATGCCAGCAGAGAATTTTGGGTCAATGTTGTTCACTGGAAATCCCCTGCAGGAGGGCTGGGGATTTGAGCCTCCAGGTCTGTGTGCAGAATTTTTTTTAAAATGAGAAAACCCTTGTTTGTAATTGGGTGAATAACTCACTGCTGTTAACTGGGTTCACGTGAGACCTCCTTCCCCGTGGCATGAAGGAATCTGTGGTGGAGTTTTCAAAAGGGCTCCACATTGTCCTGACTCTGCTCCTATTGAAACCAGTAGTAAAGTTCCCATTGCACTTACTGTATTGACAAAAAGAAAAGGAGTACTTGTGGCACCTTAGAGACTAACCAATTTATTTGAGCATGAGCTTTCATGAGCTACAGCTCACTTCATCAGATGCATACTGTGGAAACTGCAGCAGATATTATATACACACAGTGATCATTACTGTATTGAGTAGCTGAAATAGCACTCTTGAAATAACCCTTGCCGAGCGAGGCTATTCCTTAGGGTATGTCGCCACTGCAATTGAAGGTATGACTGCAGCCTAGGCCAGCATGCCCGAGCTAGCTTTCATTTAACTAGCATAACTAAACATGGGCGTGAAGATACAGTGGTAAGCCTGCCTGGAACCCTGGGTATACATTAGGGTCCATGCATGGGTATGGCTAGTACTCAGCCCTTTTGAAAATCACACCACCTATTTATCTGTTTATCTATGGTCTTAGTCCCCTACCTCTGGCCTTCATCTCTCTGTGCCTCACGTACCTCTCTCTATAATGGGTAAAAACTCTTCTGACCTACCTCACTGGGATATTGTGTGGCCTTGTTGCCATATGCAAGCTCCAGC